TGACCAAGAACATGACGTAATCTGATGCAAAAAGCATTCAACTTCCTTTCTTTAATAACGAAAGTATAATCAGAATTTTTTTTTCGACTGCAGGTACTGATATTTTGAGACATTGTTATTTTCACTTAAAATATTATAGGTTCTAAATAATTATCATCAGTATGATAAGCAGTAGGTACTAGGTACATAGGTAAGTGCTTAAGTAGGTAAAGAATCAATTAGCTAATAGTGATCATAACGAATAGGCTAATACAATTTTACAATGCAACATGCATCAATATTTTTGCCGAGAGTCATTCAAAATGGTCAAAGTATTACCAAAATGATTGAATATATAGTTCTGACTAACATAATTATTATGGCGTTTAACCAAGTGATATAAATTCACGATGTTTTTAAAAGTAATTTATTTCAATTAAACTTTAATTACTCACCATTTCGAGATACATCTAGTTCGACTAGGTTTTCAAAATTCTGAATGTCAGCTGGAAGTTTATGGATTTCATTGTCACTGAGACCTAGTCTTCTTAGTCTATGAAGTCTGAAGAAATTCTGAAACAAGCAAATAATATGTTATGATATGTTGATCATTATTCTTAAGTCTCTTTACTATAGCTAGGGGTTGGCTTCTCCATGTATATAATTTCTAGATTTATTTTAAAGGGTGGAAAATCATCAAATTGCTGCTCCCGCCTGGGTGAGAGGCGGGAGGGAGTGTCAGACTCTTACTGACTAAAAACCACCCCTTCATTCTCCTGCACGTCGAGCTGGAGCCCCGGTAACCTGTTAGGTTCTCCGTGACTCCAAATCGGCATCAGCCCTGTTGGGATATAATTTCTAGATAGCATTGTATTAATTCAATGTGCAAAAAATAACCCTTCAAATAAAATTAACTTTTAATACCATTATTGATACTTAAATAATGTAAATAAATAAATGATTGATTTTAATTTTAGTACAACAAATTTAGTATTGTAGTACATTAGTTCTATTGTATTTATTTACAATAACCATATTGTGCACAAATACAATAATGTATGAAGTTGAAAATAAACATAATAGGTATAGGTACATGATCATATAAATTTATTGAAATCAACAAAGGAATTGAGAATATCCTATTATTTATTATTAAATTAACCCAAATGGTATTATGATTATACACTTATAAATAAAAAAAAATAGATTTAGCACTTAAAATATAATAATTACAGATTAAAATAGACAGATAAATAGACACATATTAGTTTTATAATAATACTTTATACTATTTATTTATAGAATAGAATGGTACAAAAACCACATTACACTCTGGCGTTGAATCCAGGAATCGGTTTTAAAGTTTCTGTGAGCGGTAACTGGGATTTAGCTCTACTGACTATACTGCAAGATGGTATAGGAAATAAGTGGTACTTTCTGTTGCAACAGTAACTATCAGGAGCACAATTATATGAGACTGAAGAGTTTGTTGAATGCACTAATACACACTCAGCAACTACTAGTTCGATTGGAAAAAATATTTTTGTGTTGGACATTCAATTTATCAAGGAAGGCTGTACTACTGTAAAATATAATGCAACTACCAATAGGAGCAGATAGTCCATAATATAGGAAACATTAATCTTACATGGGACTCATAACATAAATAATAAAAAGTGAGTATTATATTGTACAGTGGCATAATGTGCACCTCTGCCTACCCCTTCGGGGATAAAAGATGTGATGTTATGTTATTAATCTTAAAAAAACTTGATATAGTTTTAGTGTGTTAAAAATTCAATGATTGTCACAAACAAATGATAAATCCTATATTCAAATAACGGTAAATCATTAGACAATTTGAAACAACTTAAAATGCATACCTGACTGCTATCTCTGTGATTAATTGTCTATATATATTATCTATGATATAAAATATTTTATATTTTTACAAAATTATTTACTCAACATATGAACCTAGTTTGATTCTCAAAATTCTAGAATTCAAGAATTTTTGGAATTATTTTGAGTACTTACTAAAACTCAGAGATTTAACTTAAGAACTGAATAGTAATGATTCATCCTCTATTTGTCTCTGAATATTTACCTTATGGAATTTTAATAGTCGTTACTTTATACAATTTATATATAGCATATAAAACCGAGCCTGATCCGTAAAATGATAATTACTATGTTCTGATGCAAAAACCAGTTCTCATCAAGCTGTTGTTTTTTTTCTGAAAGTTGGTCAACTAAAGAATCTTTTTTAGCATATGTTCGAATAAGTATGTGCAACAAGCAATATAAACTTCAAAGGTTTGTGTAACCACATGAACTTATTGTATTGACAGCAGTATAATGTTTGTGCATCTCATAACACTAACACATGATGTATTCAGAGACATGACTTCACTACATTTACCTACAAATGTTAAAAAATATTATGAGAAGAACTTAACATCATCAGAACAAGCAATTTCCATTATTCTAAAGCATGGGAATCGTTACACTTACGTGCCAATAACATAGCTTGAGACGCATTGATATTATTTACACATAATCAGTGATAAGGTAAACGCCCACGAGTGTAACGAATCCTCCTATTTAGGTTACACATTCACTCACCTTCGGCAAATCTCGTATATGGTTGGCATCCAAAAAGAGTTCCTCTAAACTCCTGGAATATCGTAAAATGTCTTCGGGTATTGTTGGCAACGAGCAATGCCGCTTGTCTACACATTCCACTTGGCGATTACATTTGAACAAAGGTATACATCGAAACATGTTGGACACTACACTTCATACAAACTATTACTGAATGAATCACTACAACGACACATATTTGAGCACTTTCAAGAGTTTAACACTATTTCAGCATTATAAAATTGATAACGATATCAAAATAATCCAAAAAACACAATTTACACCTCACCCTACAAAATGAAGCCACTAACTGTCAGAGTTGCCAGACAGACATAATAATTAAAACTTAAGCCTTGCCATTAAAAAAAAGTTATAAATCTTTTTGGTAGTTTATTTAAACCTCATCTAATATTTAATAAATAAATTGTAATATCTCTAAAAGTAGGTCATTTTTATAGCAATAAATTGGTAAAAATAAAGATGACTTAGAATCGAAGTCAATGGCGTATCGTGACTCCAGACCAGCACCGTGACTACGAATCTAGATGATACACTCTACATGAGACATCTATATAGAGATCTTTGTATTTCTGCCATTATTCTAAATATATTAAAGTTAACAGGTATAGGAAAAATGAAATCTTTCATAATTATGATACGATATAATAATATTTTTTTTATAATGTGCTCATAAAATTTATACAGACTTATAATAGATAAGCAGACCAAACAATTCCTAGTTACATCATCATACATAAAATATTATGATATATTATGCCCACTGCTTAGCAAAGCCTCTTCTCCCACGGAGAAGGTTATTATATGTTTACATATATGATGAAGGTTATACGTATATAATATCCATCATTCTTTGTCCTTACTCCTTTCAAGCATTAACCTAATAATGGCGTCTCGTTCTTTTACATGTAGCCACTCTGCTTTACACACAGACAAATTTTGGCATGAAGCCAGTTTTTCCGTGTCGCTATATTGATAAGCTACAACTGTGTCAATCTCATTTTATAAGAAAATATTTATTGTTTAGACCGTATAACAAAGCCTTATCAACTATGACACTATTTGCTCATAAGTTTACTTAGAATACAATGAACAAAACTAATGAACAAATAAAATAAACCCATTTTTTCATTCATGACAGGTCAAGTATTTGTAAAATCAACAGAGGACGGATTTAGGATTTCGAAAGGTTAAAAACTAATATAATTATATCAATAACAGCCTATAAGTAAATGCCCACTGCTGAGCAAAGCCTCTTCTCACACGGAGAAGGTTTGAGCATTAATCATCACGCTTGCTCAATGCGGGTTGGCGATTACAAACTTATAATAAGAAATTATAAACCCAGGTTTCCTCACGATGTTTTCCTTCACCGTTTATCAGTGGTGTCTAAATAATCTTAGAAAGTACATAATTATAACTCGGAAAAAGTCATATTGGTACTTGCCATTGGTAGGTTTCGAACTCGCATTCTCATGCATGAGAAGCCAGCGTCTTAAACCTCCGGGCCACCACGACATTGACATGACATGAAATATAAATTATATATTATTTTTATTATATTATATTATATTATTTATATTTTGTAAGTACCTGCATAATAGTAACTTCAAGTTAAATAATCTAACAGACTTATTTTTCAATAGTAGTTGTTATATTTGTAATAAGTACCACGATTGTATACCTCGGTACAATGCATCAATTTTATCACAATTGCCTATTATCATCACAGAATACCACCATGGACTCAAAATGTTTCGGAATGTACAACAAAATTTAACATGGCGCTCGCTCCGCTCGCTCGAAAAGTACAAGGAAAGAACTTGTCTTGGAAGTGACCATTGACCACTTCCAAGACAGTGGTCAATGGTACCTATTAATGGGAGGGAGATGACTGATGATATTTATTACCTGATATTTTATTTATTTTATCCGTAACAAGAGGCTTTACTAAAATTATTTTTCTCCTTTTAACGTGTTTTATTGGGAAAAGCAATTTTTATATATTTTCTATATGAGGATATTAAAATTATTTCGTACACACCTACGTATTAATTAAAATTTTAACACTATATATATTAATATGCAGTTCTCAGTTCTCTAGTTTCGGAATTATATAAATTTCATAGGATTCTCATACATTTTAGATAACAACTACAAAAAATAAAATTAGTAAAAATTGATATTTATTCAGTATTTATAAATATATAGTTTTTATTTTGGTTTCACAAATAGCTAACGTGTGGTCTGCTTCTCCTTATATGTCTGTGAAAATTCGCCATACATTTTAGTCCGTTTATGCCAGCGGCATCTAGATAGATTTACGGTTGTAGTTTCGATGTCATGTCACGTGTGACATCTGACATGTGACAATTTTTGACAAGTTGCGGAGCGCACCGCACGGCGCACAAGTCGAAATTTTTCTGGCTATGATTCAGTCAGTCAGAAAAACCGGAAAATCAAGACTCTGACGTTCGAAGGAATTGGAAAATAGAAACATTGTATTTCCATAGTTTCTCTAAATACTATTTTAATATCAGTTCCTACTCGCTTTTAAACTTCAGTTCTTCCTTACATAGTTTTTTCTGCCGTGCTTTTCTGCCGTGTAGTCCCCAAAAGTTATACTTTTCAGTAAAAATGGAATTCAAATTAGGATTTATCGGTGGGGGTAACATGTCCACAGGCATCGTTAAAGGAATCCTCAAGAGTGGTGTGTATAAATAGATAACTAAAAAAAAAAAAACGATATTGTGTAGTTTCCGTGTCGAATTTGAATAACTTGTGAAGACTTTATGAATATTTACTGACTAAATAGAGATTTTACTTATTGAATATCATATTTCAGGTGCCCACTCTGCATCTAATATATGGGTGTCAGGGCCTCATATAGAAAATTTAAAACATTGGAGCGAAATGGGAACTAATGTTACTACAAATAACGGAGAAGTATTTCAAAAGTGTGATATAATAATTTTGGGGATAAAAGTTACCCAATTAAGCGAGGCTCTTCATAATATCCAAAGAAGTGTGAGCTCAAAAAAAGATGTATTGTTTGTGTCTATGTTACCAGGAATTGTTATAAATGAACTTCATAAGGTGTGTTTTATCCCTCCTTCAAGGTGGTTAATATAGTATTCTAGTATGGCTTCCTTAATTTTAACTTAAATGTGTTATAATTATGTTACATTGAACAATAAAATCTGTAATCTACAAAGCAATGATATAAATGATATACATATTATCATTTATTTTACTCTTACTACTAAAAATTTTTTTCAGATTATAAAATCATATCTACCATTTGTGAATGCGACTGTGATACGTATAATGCCCAACACCCCAATGACAATTGGAGAAGGTGTTTGTCTTTACACTCCAGACAATGAAGTATCAGATTTACAATGTTCAAGGTTAGAGAAACTTCTTAGCAGTTCTGCGCTGTGTGAGAAAATTCCCGAATACTTAATGGATGCTTTGGGTGCATTGACTGCGTGTGCTCCAGCTTATGTAAGTTCTATAGTATACATATCTAACGTTTTACTGAGTTTTACATTTAATAATCAAGCACTTCATAAGTTAAACGGTTTAAAGGTTTGAATTTAATCTTTCTCAGGAAACCCTCAATAGTGTGAGTTTATTGCAAATATAATACATTGGGTTCTAATGATACAACGCTAACAATTTCAATGTCTATTATTTACTAGAGTATAAATCTAACTTTTCTCTTAAAACATATCAAATGACATAAGTCAGATATATACAACGGAAATAAGGTCTATAATGGAGTTGCTGAAGAGTAGTCACCGGTGACCACTTGGGGATTAAGCAGTTAAGAAATAGAGGGTATTAACCCGTTGATATCCATCCCCTAAATTTGGTCATACAAAAGTATTCTCTAAACATTAGAAATAAGGTCTATAATGTAATGTAATATTAGTGGAAAGCGGTCACCGGTGACCGCTTGGGGATTCATGGGTTAATAATGTTCTGAATTGTATAAAATTACAGATGTATGTAGTGATTGAAGCATTGGCTGATGGTGCTGTGAAGCAAGGTGTGCCAAGGACTACTGCAATGCGTCTCGCAGCCCAGATGGTAGTAGGCAGTGGTCAAATGGTGCTGCAATCTGGAAAACACCCTGGATTATTGAAGGATGAAGTATGTTCGCCTGGTGGGTCAACTATTGCTGGAATTGCTGCACTTGAGAATGGTAAACTAAGGTGAGTAGTCTCTGCTAACTGTACAGAGAGAGGGCCTAGTGCGATTTTGTTTTACGTTGAAATATTGCCGCGTGTGGCATTCTGATTGGTAGGTTCATTGGAGCAGGCTAATAAGAGTACCAAACACGTTTCGATTACGTTGAACGCAATTCAAACTCATACTAAGCCCTCTTGTTTGAAGCAACAGCTCAATAAAAATGTTAGGAATTGAATGGACTATTACAACCATGTAATAGCACTTTTTTTTGAGCGGGGATGTCATCCTAAGAAGCAAAAGTGGTGTTTGGCTAGAGGCATGGTTTGTACTATAAGGATTATTTTTAAAACAATAAAACTTATACTACAAATTAATTTGTTTTCGAAAAGTGAGTTTTCTATTTTGTGCTCTCCAGCAGTTCTAAAATTTTGTAGTAATGTTTAAAAACACTTGTTTCAGGGCAACACTGATCAACGCAATTGAAGCATCAACTATTAGAAATAAGGAGTTGGGAAACAAATAAGTGCATGACAATTTATTATGCTTTACACATTAGTATTAAGGAAAATGCTTCAAACCAAATTCATCGATATGAATCTCAATTCAATACTCGTTGAATACTTAGCTAAGTTTGTTGATACTTAATTATTTTATTTAAACAAATGTACCTATACTCAGAATCTCGGAACCTCATTGCTCTTCTTATTGCCGTATTATTATGTAACAGATAGTTAGGGCTGTAAACACATGTTTATGCAAATTAATCTATTGTACTGTAAGTTAGCATTCCCTCATTTTTGATACTACTCATATAAGCTTAGTTTATACAGAGAGGACTTTTAAGCTTCCTATGTTAACACACTCTCTATTATTTCTGTTTTATAGTATTGATATTCCAGCCAATTTTTTGTTCCTACTGTTTTAACTATAAGTGATACCTACCATACAGTATAACTGTATAGTATTTTAAGTTTTTGTTTGTATTTTTGCTTATTTTATTTTCTTCAATATTTTTTTATCTTTTATCTTGAAGTGCTTATTTAGGTTTTTTTTTGTGTAATTGCTGTGAACAAAACTTTTTATTTATTTGTCGTGTGAAAAATGTTATGAATAATATTTATTGAGTTGTATAGACCTGGCACATTCCTAAACATGATACTGTCAAAAGTATAACCGAATCTTAATTTATTTACATTTTAAGATCTGATTGGATACTGAATCTCATGTACGATAAGTGTTTTGTTTAGTAGCCGAATTTGTTATAAAATATACATTAATAATTTTACAAATGTGAGTGATGAGAGCTCAGTGACGCACATAGCCTCGGGTCGGTACATATCTATTTAACGAAAAACATGGCACTTGACGTCACAATTATGAGAAATCTATGTATAATAAAATTGAATCTCTACTTGAGAATATGGAACCTTTTCTGTGTTTGGGCGTCTCGTGTTATATGCACTTTTTTTGTTAAATGTGAATCTACAGTTAACCCTCGCAACTGTATGTGCAGTATTTGTGCATATTTAACAAGAGATTTGCCTTCAAAACTTTATATCTACCAGCAGTTACAAACTTAATAACATTATATTATAGAGATTGACCACATGAGTGCTTTTCGCGAAAAGTATAGACTGTCACCTGAGTGCCAAGCACGAATAACTATCGCATTCGTAACGTAATAGTATCGAGCGCGTTCGGCGCTCTGATTGGCCGGCTCAAGTGAACCAACCAATCAGAACGCTTAACTCGTTCGATACTGTTACGATACGAATGCGATAGTTATTCGTGCTTGGCCGTCAGTACACGCTATTAGAATTTCCACAGAAATCAGTATTATTACAGTATTGTACTGTTGTATTTAACACATTATGCTATGATTTCTTTACTAATAAACACAAGCACTGTAAACACATGTCTAGTTTAATTTTGCAACCATCATGATTTCAGTTGTGCGCGCAACTTGTGGCGCGACGCGCAGAATATGTTGCGTGGCTTGTGTCAATGCAACAAGCAGTTGAGCATCAAATGTTCAGAGGAGTGGAGACGTGGTTACGCGCAAGAAACAAGTGCCGCTTCAGTCAATACATGATTGTCAATAGATGAATCCAACACAAATACAGTACCTTTTTTTAAGGAGAGAAAATCATCCAATGACTTCTCCCGCCCGGGTGAGACGAGAGGGTATCAGACTTATTGACTAAAAACCACCCCGTTCCTATTCCTGCACTTCGAACCGGAGCCCCAGCAACCCGTTAAGTCCTCCGCGGCTCCGTGTCGGCATCAGCCCTATTGGCACCATCTGTGGTGGTCTGAAGGCTCCTTGAGGCGCGCGCGGAACGCGAAGCGCCGTACGCTCGGGTCCGTTAGATAAAGTACCTACATAGATAGTAGATCCCTATTTATTGGTAAGTAATGGGAAGATCAAAACAAAGAACATTGTATTAATAGTCCAATTTTATTTAAAAGTTAAGATTAAACAAATAGGTAAAGTTTTATAAAAGAAATGAAAACGTAAACTGTTTTGAAATTTGATCAGAAAAGACACTACCACTATAGTATCTATCTACTACGGTTATTGATATACCTAAGTTAAGTCTTCTCAATAAAAAAACTAACAGTGAAGGTTGGGTAGGTTTCTTCCTTTGCATTTGTTCACCCATCCGACCCAGGCGTTGAATCCGTGGACACCGAAAATGGTCTTACTGCACTGAGAAGCTATTGTGATGTCATCCAGCAACAGATCTAGAACAAACAAATAATATTTAAGTGAGAAGCTGTAAGTAGCCCACGAGATAGAAGCCCCTATATACCTAATGTTTTTTTTTTATTTTTTTTTTGAAGGGGCGAAAAACCACCCCGTTCCTTCTCCTACACGTCGAGTCGGAGCCCCGGTTACCCGTTAGGTTCTCAGCGACCTACCTACCTAATGCTTAGGCAGTGGTGAAGGCACCAAGACTTTGGCAGACGGAAAATATCACTAGAGACATTTATTGGGAAAACTGTAAGACAAGTTATCAGGGTGCTTAGGTACTCTTGAAGCCAATCCCAATGTCAATGCAATTTCAATCCAATAAAATTTCAATAATGATTCAATGCCAAAACTATACAACCCCTATCGTAGCTGTTGAAATAGCATTCAGAGTACGGAATATAAAGCCAAACTCAATACCATTTAGTTCATTCAATATCCACGCAATACGGATGCAATGTGCGCTGGTGTTTTTCACAATACCAATGTCGATCGATCGGAATTGGATTCAAGAGTAAGCCCCCAGATAGTGATAACGAGGTACCGATCCCAATCCCCTACTCTCCACTCCGCAATACCCACATGTCCCCAAAAGTCTGATATCACACTTGTAAGTCCTCTGGTGTTGTAGGTGGTCATGGGCGGCACCGACTGTTTACGATCAAGTGATTCGTCTGCTCGTGTGCCGAACATGGAAAGCCAAAGCATTTATCTGCCTTCACTTAGCAGGTAGACTTGGGTAGACTAGTCAAGCTAGACATCGGGGGTCGAGGAATGCTGCTCATGAATATGAGCCTCTCGCATGGCTTGAAACTAGTCGAGTTTCTCGTTAAATAATTACGTGAGTAAGCCGAAAACCATAATAATTAATTTGGACTAGTCAACTGTACCTTCATATTTAGTCATTTACGAGGTCTATAACAACTTCACCTAATAAATAATTACCCATGTTTATAATTATCTAGGTACTTACTCAGATTCTAATTGTGTAATTAATAATTACCTACTTATCCGACGATGAACCGGTTTTCTGACAAGTACCTACCTAGTCAGGTTTACAGTGTTTAAGTGGATAGATAGAGATGCGCAATCGTATTACTTTTAAAGAACGGGATATCATCAAATCTCTCTTCCACCCTCGGTGAGCCGGTAGGGAATTTCACACACCAGCTTTTCCTGTGGTTTACCGCGACGTTACCCCCAACAGGGCAGGAGAATCGTGTTATTTAGTGTTCCATTTGTTGTCCCTGACTATTTTAAGGGGTGACGCGAGGATATGTACCTTCATATGTATGTATGAAAAGTAGATATTTTACCTTTGCAGCGAATGTTGCACCCCTTGCCCGGGTGGTCACCATCGTTGCACCAGTAGCGGTTATTAATTTGGAATAAGCCATAGTCGTGGGAACCATCTGCATTGTTGCCACCAACGACGTGGGTTCGTTTGGAACTCTCCGCCTCAACCAGGCACACCCCTAGAAAGAAAAGTCATTTTATGTTATGTTACAAATTAAGTACTTTAATTTACTCATCGATAAACTAAAAGTCATGGTCTTTGAGGTCATGAACTTAAGTAATCAAAAGTTTAAGAACTGTTTTATCAGGCCTTGCTTTACCTACTTAAAGTAGGTATTTTCCAGGTAGGTGGATTAGATTGTCAATTACGTAACGAATTAATGGGTTGCTACTTACATCATACGAAAGCCTATTAAAAATAAAATGACGAAGTGAAAAATTTAAATAGGTATCAATGAACTAAGTAGGTACTTACAATCTTTAAGTTGGTGTTCGGGGAATCCTTGCCTTCTTAACTCCTGGACTAATTCACATTCCGTGAATGTTTTCCCATAGCTTTTTGCAATAAAGCATAAAGCAACAATAAACAGAACGGCGCGCGTCATTTTGGCACTTTACCTCTTCAAGCTTTAACCAAGTAACCAATTATTGCGTGTCAAGGGTAACAATATTCGGCTAATTGATAGGCGAAACCTGTTCAAGAAATAACCAAGATTTTTATTCTCTGGTTATTTTTGTACCAAGCTTAAGACAATGCACTTAGGATGAAGGCACCACACTGATGAAAGAAAGTGGACAAATGCGTTTTTATATGGTTCAGTATTCAACCTATATCCTTATGACACACAGGGAAAGCTAAAATTCTCAAAGAGCAAAATTCCATAGTAGGTACCAATTAGTTTGCCGTTAGCTCTAAAAAACATAAAAAAACCAGTTGTGTGAGTCGGTTTGTTTGTTTAAACCACAATTATCTTTAATTGAAAACTTAATTGGACTTATGTGATACAATTATTAATTCTTAGGTATATTGTAACTCAATGATTTCCTTCACGTGATGTTCTTCAACTTATCGAGAATCTATTGACGTGAAGTCTTTCTTTTAATAATGTTAGAAATTATTATACCTAACAAGAAACCTTATAACGAATGAAGTAAACAAAATGTTAATTTTATTCATTTATTTAGGACATATTCTTAGTAAGTACAAGTACAATAATATTAGTTAAAGGTGTAGTTTCTTAAAATTCTTATCGTAATACTTACGCAATTAACATGAAAATGAAAATAAATAATATATAAAGATAATATCTACTTAAAGTAAAGTAAAGACGTAATTTATATTATTGTGAATCTTTAAGCTCCTTAAGATTGTCAGTGTTGTTTTAAGGACTACGATATTTAAACAACCACAAGGAACTGCAACAGGTTTTACACTTATTTTAAACACCACGTGAACATTAAATGAACGACGTATATATGGTCATCTATTTCTCTTCAGTAAAAACGTAGATTTTTCTCGTAGTCTGTTGCGGTGTATAAGGGTGGTAAGGATGCACACACACCGTCCTTTTTGTGAAAAGGAACAGCGACATTCGTCGCGCGAGGCCCACGCCGATATCGATACTCTTGTGTCGTGGTATGTCCATCATCGGTAACTCGTCCTCATCCTGTTTGGAGAAACAACTCAATCTTCGAAAACTGTTGCGAAACCTTCCAAATGCTGGTATCACCGCTCTCTGAACGCTCGGTAGTCGTCGTAACAAAGTCTTCTTAGCTTTTTTGTCATCTTTCGCTTCCTTGTTATCATTCGCTTCTTTGTGTGTATACTTATTCTTCTTACGTTTAGTTTCATCAACTTTCACTGATTTTGTATAAATCCCATTAGTTTCCGAGGATACAATCACAGATATGTCTTCTTCAGACATCACTACATTGTTTTATTTTCCACATTTTGTATATACCTTGTTCGCTTATCGGACTCGAGTGAGCTCCTGTCTCAATTTTTGGCATTGATTGAGTGTGACGCAGTTTCGTGATAAGATATTGTCCAGATTACCCACTGTGATTATAGCGACTTGGTTTATAATGATTACACGCTGTAAAAATCTCGTAGAAAAAGGCTGCGGTATTATGATTGTTTATAAGTAATAGCAATAAATGCAATATTAGAGCTGGTTTGAATGATGTTAATCCTCATAATTTGATTACGTGATCAAATTATTTCTTTGTGCCCCCTTTGTTCTTTAGATCCCCTGGTACCTAGGAGAAAGGAATATAAATAATTTACCTATATTTTTGTGTTTTAGGTATCTCTTAGTCAAATGTCAATAACGTGTTTTACATTGTTTTAGTATTTTATGATTTACTTAACAAATCTTTACCGAGTCATCCTAACTGCGTAAAATTGACCTTACTACTAAATTAACAGCGCTGTAGCAAATGTCTCCCAAATTGCATTTAAGAGCCACAATACATAGCCATAAAAACTGATTACAACCGTAGCCTTGTGTTCAGTAACCGTGAGACAGAACTCTTCCGCAACAAGAACAATTTTTTTTAGTAATATTAACTTTTATTGACTTGATTTGTACAGATAAGATACATTTAGTCTGAATTTGTAGTTACGCACAGTAAGGAGAATTATGTCTTTTTCCAATAGGCCATTTACCTATTTGTTAACATGTATCATTTAATCAGTTTTCATTCACTTTCATTTATTTAAACAGTTAAACTATTGAACCTACAGTTCAGCTTTTCCTTTTTCTTCTACTTTACTTTGATCTCCACAACCTACAACCTCATCCCATTATATTAGTTTTTACTGAACCTTTGCTGCACAAGTCCGACTCAACCTTGGCAAATTTTTACTCCATGTCATTTTTATGACCTTTGTTGGTGATGCGCGTGTGTGCATTAGATTTAACAATAGATAAAATGGTGACGTATTACTTACATACTAGTCTCGTTAACCTTAATGAAAATGCCAGACAGTTTCTTTAGCCATGTGTTTACCAGTGAAAAGTATTCTTTAGTAGAACCATGAAGATTGGAATAACCTGCATAATTTGCCCCCTTAGTGTTACACTGGCCGTAAGCGCGGGCCTGCGGACGGCAAGAATGGGTGGCTCGCCGCCCGACCCAAGCGTACGGCGCGTCGCGTTCTGCGCGCGCCTCAAAAAGCCATCAGCTACCACGGATGGAGCCTAATAGGGCTGATGCCGATTCGGAGTCGCGGAGAACCTAACGGGTTACCACCCCACCCAGGTGGAAGCAGGCATTCGATGATTTTCCGCCCCTAAAAAAAAAGTTACACTGGTATATTATTTAATATACCTTCTTACGCCCAAACCTGAAAGGCTACTCAGTTGTACTTAAATATCGTGCCATCTCTGTCATTTTACAAAGAATTTGTAGTGACAAAAATAGTTCTGTCATTACAAATTCTATTAAGTCACGCTTAAGTCTATGCTTAAAATTGAGTGACGGTCGAATATTTGGACGTTAATAACAACAAAGTGAGAGCACTGAATTTTACTGAATACGCTGTTGCTTCAGAGGCGAATTAGATGAGTGAATATAATAGGTAGAGGTGTAAAAGATCAAATATTCGGACGTATACTGCTATATTGCAAAAAATACAACAATATCCGGACCCCGCTAAAAATGAAGTTGACCCCTGATGTATGTTAAAGTGACATTAATTACTTGGACGATATTTATTTCATACCTATTTCTTTAGTTTATCCTGCTTTAGGGGAAAACACCAGTGTTTACCCAGACGTTGACTTCTAACAGCCTATTGTGACGAGTTCATGGCCATACACAAAACTGGTGATATAGGAATCCACGACACAATGTTCTAGAAACAAGGAAAACACAAATGTAAATTAAGCTGGAGACAGACTAGAAGTGAGAACACTAGTTGTAGGTACCTACCAAGTCTGCAAAGATAGCCTCGTTGGTAATTAGGTAATAGGGTAGTTGACAGGGTACGAAAATTAAAAAACTAATTAGTCCGTCACTTAGATAATGAAAAACATATTAAAAACATACGAGCACCTGATGGTAAGCAATCGGCGTCGCCCATGGATAGCTGGAACACCAGAGGCGTTATAGGTGCGTTATCAGCCTTTTGGGGAATTAGGAGTTTGAGGATCGTTGGGGATTTAGGGATTGGGGAGATTGGGGAAGGGGAGGGAGGTAATTGCGCCTCCGATAACCTCACTCACACGACGAAATACAACGAAAGTGTTGCTTCACGTCGGTTTTCTGTGAAGTCGTGGTATCACTCCGGTCGAGCCGACCCATTCGTGCCGAAGCAAGGCTCTCCCACACTATACCTCTATATAATAGTTAAAAGTATTTTGATTTGTAAGAAAAAAAAATAAGTGTCTAATATTTTAACATTATCTACCAAGTCGGTCATAAAAATTAAATTTAGAATAGGTACCAATAGTTACGCTATTGGTTACCGAAAATACTGGTCTATGTATCAACCTATTGATTTTCAATCATATTATCAAATAGTATATAGTTCGTAATCGAAAAGCTTAACGCGTCCAATTGGAAACAACCAATGACCATCTATGAGATTAACTCTTGTGGTAAATGCTAGAATAAACTCGTTGTAGTCATAGCCATGAGGGGTTTTTAAGTTGCTAGTAACTTCTGTAATCAAATCGAGGAAAGCAAATTTCTTTTCCAATTAGAAATTATTATAACTGTTTAGAATGAAATAGACATTTCGTATACCTCTAATGAACCTAAAAGTCTGTACTTTATTTGTAAGTCAAGTCACATTACATTAACATAACATAACATCACACCTTTTTATCCCCGAAGGAGTAGGCAGAGGTGCACATTACGGCACTTAATGCCACTGTAACATAACATTAACTATAATAATAAAGAAATCGTAGTAAGTAACGTTAGACTTGATACAACTTTGTCTAGATTTCATTACTTTTTATAGTTGAACAAGCGGCTCCATCGAGACTTGCCTAGATTTTTACCGACTTCAAAAAAAGGAGGAGGTACTATGTTCGGCTGATTGTTTTTTTTTATTTTGGTTTGTTCGCGCAGTACTCCGCCATTTGTGAACCGATTTCCAAAATTCTTGTTTTGTTTGAAAGGGTATACTCCCGAGATGGTCCCATTTCCATGAGGTCAGGATCTGATGATGGGATCCTAGGTAAACCGAGGGGAACTTTCGAAAATTCTATGGGCAAGTAATGCGTCTATTATGTTTTTCAATTAGGATTTTGAAACACTACAATTTGATAAGGGTCTGGAGTTGACCTGATGATGGAGCCGACAAGCAGTCGAGGGAACTCCTCAGAGGTTTATATTAACTACCTTGAGTTTGGGCTTGATTAATTTGGATTGATGAGGACTTTACACCTAAATAGAGTAGGGCTGTCATTAAGGATCTGATGATGAAGAAGTGTAATTGTTAAAGCAACTCCTTAACGGTATACAGTAACTACCTTGTGTTTGGGCTTGATTAATTTGTATTGATGAGGACTTTACACCTAGATAGAGTGGAGCTGTCATTAAGGGTCTGATGATGAAGAAGTGTAATTGTTAAGGGAACTCCTTAACGGTAAACAGTAACTACCTTGTGTTCGGGCTTGTATAATTTGTATTGATTAGAACTTTGCACCTATGTAGATTATAAGTAACAAAACGGGTATAATTATGTAGCTTTACACTAAAAATGATAAAATAATAAAATAAAAACTGCGTTTAAAAAACCGACTTCAAAAAACCAAAAACTAATAACAAACAAAAAGTCAATACTAAAAAGCAAAAAATAACTATTATTAGTACTGATAGGTTACCCACCCACTGATAGGTAAGAAGTCGGTGCCATAAGTTCCATACAAAATTATTCATTAAAACCTTAATAGGTACCTAATTCACAATTTTGTGGGCATTAAGTTATATCATTATAATATGAGCTTATGGCACCGACTTCTAACCTATCAGTGGGTGGGTAACCTATCAGTACTAATAATAGTTATTTTTTGCTTTTTAGTATTGACTTTTTGTTTGTTATTAGTTTTTGGTTTTTTGAAGTCGGTTTTTTACAAAATGTTTTTGGTTGGATATATTATATTTAATCTTTTACCTGACCGAAGAAAGGGCATTTTAAATATTCCAATTAAGGTTTATTAAAGTACTACTAATAACGTAAATAATAAACTAAACTAAAACCTACTTCTTTTCATTAAAAAAAAAACGCTAACTGTTTCTATAATTACAAAAGTATTCTAAGGTTACAGTAGCACGAACCTCGAAGGAGTTGCTTTTTTAATTTTGTTATCGATCCATGCTTTGTCACAGTTCCATTACAGTTAATAATACGGTGGCGCACTCCTAGCCTACTTACAACATAGGTTCACAGCCGTATGTATGAGTTTTCAGTATAAAGTGTCATAAATAAAAAATAGCAGCCAACTGCTATGGTAAGTATCTTATACTAATTATTACTTTTATGGCTGTTTTCACCAACCACCTGTAAACTAACTCTTAACTAAGAGTTACTTAGCATGAAGGAGTACCTGATCTAACCAACCAATATAAGTAAGGACTCATACTGTTAGGTTGTTACTTATAGGTTGATGAATACCAAAATGTCGTTTATAGTTATCTTAACTTAGGAATTCCTTAAAAACAGAGGTCGGTGAAGACAGACATTTGTCTTCTTTTACGTATTCCAATACGCACTGTCAATACGATATATTATTATCTATATCGAGCCGCGGAGAACGGAAAAGGTTGCCGGAGCTCCGGCTCGAAGTGCAGGAGTAGAAACGGGGTGGTTTTTAATCAGTAAAAGTCTGACGCTCCCACCCGCCTTACTCAGGCGGGAGAAGTCATTCGATAATTGTCGCCCCTTAAAAAAAATTGTATATATATCGATACTTACTTATTGCATATTTTTTGATATAAAAAGCAATATAATAACTATCATGCTTTTTATTCTTCAAAAATATGCAAAGAAAATGTAGTTTTCACTAGTCCCGAGTAATCGGAGGCAAAAAATTATATTTCTAAACATCTTGAATTTCTAGAATGCATGTTATCAATTATTTATGTTAAAATATCCTTAATAAGTGATACAGTTGTCTATTTTGCAAATTGAACAAGAAAACTAAGAAAAACTGTACAAAATTTTGTTTAATTTAGGATAAATTAAATTTTTTCGTTTTATTTATTTAGTTAAATGATTCAAATAAATTCGAGTAGCTATTGTATTCATACGACAGTAATTAATTCTGGTTTTTCCCTCACGTAAATGGTAAGTCGTTTTCTACGTGCAATAAAACAAGGTTGATTCGGCATTGCTCTCATTTTCACAACTGATAGCTAAGTTAGTTTTCATTCTGTTGTCTTTATTACTCGGGTGGTTTTTCATTGTAGTGGGAGAGAGACGGAGCATTGTTTTTGCTTCAGACTGTAGTGCGCAGGCGTTCGCGTCATCGTGCTGTTTCACTGTTTCCCCAGCCAGTGTGACAAACCGCTGCACTCACAGACAACTGATTCATTCATGTTGTTATAACGTTGTGTTTGTACGTGGAGGTTAAGAAATATCAGTGTTGTTTTTTAATTAATTAAATAAAAACACCAGGTAAGCGTTTAATCCATTTCTTTTCTAATTAACAAAGGGTGTTACTGTAGATTGCATTTTTTGGGATATAGATACGTATGCTACTAAAACTTTGGTCGTCCACTAATACCTGCTAATTACGTAAAATTAACACCATAAAATGATCAAGCAATGTTTTTAGATGGTCTATTTACTGATTTTATATTCTTAAAATTCTGTTTTAAAGTAATTTAATAGCTGTGATTAGTGTCCATCTCATTTTAATGAAGTTGATACCGTTAGATATTTATAATTATTTTAGAAGTAGGTAGGCAATTGTTAGTATTGTTCTTATTCTGTTGTTACTAACATAATAAATGTACAAGTATGTTAGGTTGTACGTATGTTTACAACTCTTTCGCGAAAAAAGTACTGACCACATCTGAGTGAAAGACAGAGAGTTAGATTGTGCTTTATTTGGGATTACATAAGGACCACTTTTATATTGGTGACGCGAGTAAAGAAAAAAAGAAGGAATGAGCGTAGTTTATAAGTAGTAGGAGGTATATACCTACATTAAACTGTCATGCATCAAGGGGTCACCGGTGACCGCAACCTATCATTCTATAATTGTGTCTTAACTCGTCGAGTACCGGTTTTGTAGACACAATTATAGAACAATAGGTTGCGGTCACCGCTGACCGCTTGGTGTTTGACAGTTTAATGACGGTAATCGACGAGTTAATAAGTATAAACACCAAACTGATAGAAAAAAAATGTAAGTAATACAGTTTTCATATTATTTACTTAGTTTCAGTCACATGCTTCTCTGTATACATATGTATGTTCAATGCATACATTACATTCCTACTCACTACGTAACGCAAACAATAACTTCAATTGCAAATGAACATTTCTTTTACAATATAATTGTGTGGAAGGAATGAAAAGTAATGTAGTACCTGACTACTTACTACATATACGTGAGCATTTGTTAATAATTGCAAAAGTTACGTGATATAATGTGTCTAACATGATATACAAAATAGTATTCGCATTCTCTGGCCTAAACGTTGTCTAACCTTAAAATGCCAAATTGATGATGGAAATAAAATTTTATCCAGTTTTAACACGAACACATTTTATTCGCATTTTAATAATTATGGTTGTAGTAGTACTTGAATTGTCAAAGTAAATATAACATACAGTGACAATTAAACTGTAATGCTCAACAATTCGTCGCGGAGAACCTAACGGGTAACCGGGGCTCCGGCTCGACGTGCAGGAGAAGGAACGGGGTGGTTTTTAGTCAGTAAGAGTCTGACACTCCCTCCCGCCTCACCCAGGCGGGAGCAGTCATTCGATGATTTTCCCCCCTTAAAAAAAATGCTCAACAATTGAGTTAGTCTTCTACTTCATATCATATTACAATATTTACCTATACATATAAACATATAAGGATCAATATTATATTTTTAGTTATCAGTTATAACTAAATGCTTAATTTTGTTTGGTTATCAGCCCCATTGTTCGATTCTTTGTAACTATAACTATGTAGAATGAGTATGAGGTTCCTAGATCAGACATGGTTTTGGTAAATACCTAAAGCAAATTCTTCGTTTAACACAACATAACAATAATGTCAAATGAATGAAACAAGTATTGCAAGTAGCTTCACCGATCATCACGCCATGTAATTCCCTAAAATGTATTTTTCATCAGGTGACACGTGCTATGCGATCTAGACGATTTAGATGTTGGGTCTCATACACGAAAGTAAACGTTTTAAAACAAAGTTTTAGTGGGTTATTAAAAAAATCTCAGTAGTAACACGGAGTCTGGAATTGTCCCCAGTATATAACGAAAGTCTCACCTCCTATTATATGGGACTCACAACATAAATAGTGAAAAGTGGGTGTTACATTGTACTGTGGCATTAAGTACCGTTATCATTATGTACCCCTTCGGGGGTAAAAGGCGTGATGTTATGTATTTTTTAAAGTAAAAAATGACGTCTCTAATCGTTGTTTTTAGTTTAACCATCCAAAGTACTACTTATTGTTGGCAAATTATTTTGCCGAGGGACGAAAAAGAAATAACTTTGACAGTGTAGATAGTGCCCAGTCGGGTTGATGCCTGATCTGTAACTGCGGACAAGCTTGCAGGTTATCAGGGCTTCGGCTTAAAGCAGAAGTAGGAAATGGAGTGGCTTTTAGTCAGTAAGAGTCTGACACTCTCTTTTGCGTTACCCAAGGCGGAAGAAGACATTGGAATATTTTCTCCCCTAACAAAAAAAAAATAAATACGTTCACCTCAATGTAATGCCTACTTAAAATCAGTTCTGTGATAAATTCATCTAATTTCTGTAATTAATTTGTTTTAGTAACAAGTTTCATAGTTATAATATTATCTTAAAATTTTCTAATTTTGTTGTAGCTATGTGTTAATTTATTATTCATTTCATTTATATTAGAATGAATATATAATTTAACTTAAATTTGTCATGCATACATGGATATTTACCATCACAGACGTATACAGAATTTAATAGACAGTTTAATAAAATTAGAAGTCTACAAATTAATTGTATCGTAATTACTTTTAGCCATTAGACTAATAGAATTATGTTTCAAACATACATTCAGACTAACACGTGAGTGTTATCTTTTTTACCGCCGAATATAACAATATTATCATTGTTTCGTGTTTTAAGCCATTATTATCTAGCTAGCTGAAATTATATCATTAAATACTTAGCAAATATCTACAGTTGATATATTGATATTAAAATTACAATGGATAATTTCATAATAAATATTACTTTTATCAAAACGTGACCAACAAACTTTACCTAGAATAGTTTATACATGCCTATTTGAGATTTCCCGGAATGACTAGTGGAAGATATTATTACAAAGCATTAAGGTTGTTTTTCCTACAGTCATCAATATTGTTATCTCTATTCTTTATCAAAAACAGAAGTACTGACAGTATTAGCTAGAATGCTATTTTTCTATAGCCAAATTCAGCATAGTAATGACTACGCCGAATTCGGCCGCGTAGCCGCTTCGTGTCCACTTCGTAGCCGCTTCGTAGTCGCTTCGTAGCTGCTTCGTAGACGTAACTTAAGTATCCCTCAGTTTTCTACATTAGTTCTGGTAATACTAACTAGTATGCCATTTTTCTACAACAAGATTCAATGGAGTCATTGCGTAGTCATTTCGTAGCCGCTGCATAGACGCTGAGTACCTCTTTCGTCGTATCTACTGACTCCACTAAAATGTGTTATAGCATCTCTCTAATGAACGTAAGTGTCCGTTAGTTAAATTCATGAGTACTGGCAATACATGTTATTTTTATGGCGACATTCGGTGTAGTTATTGCGTAGCTATATCGAAGCCGCTTCGTAGTCGCTTCGTAGCCGCTGCATAGTCGATGCGTACCTCTATCGTCGTATCTACTGACTCCACTAAAATGTGTTATAGCATCTCTCTAATGAACTTAAGTGTCCATTAGTTCATTTCATGAGTACTGGCAATATATGTTATTTTTATAAGGCGAGATTCGGTGTAGTTATTGCGTAGCCATTTCGAAACCGCTTCGTAGTCGCTCCGTAGCCGCTGCGTAAACGATGCGTAATAGTTTCGTGGACGCTACGTAAGTGCTTCGTAACTCCTACGTATCCACTGAAACCACTAACATTATCTAATTTCTTGAATTAAATGTTTTAGTGTAATTCATGTCTTTATAACACAAGTTATATCATTAAATGTATTGCTTTGATCTTGACCCGAGTTATTTCACCATTAGTATTTAGAATCTCATTTAAATCCGAGTCTATACTCGTGACAACGAGCGTACGGCGCGTCGCGCTCCACGCGCACTTCAAAGAGCCATCAGACCACCACAGATGGGGCCCAAGAAGGCCGATGCCGATTCGGAGTCACTCCGCGCGCACTTCAAAGAGCTATCAGACCACCACAGATGGGGCCCAAGAGTAGGGCCGATGCCGATTCGGAGTCGCGGAGAACCTAACGGGTAACCGGGGCTCCGGCTCGACGTGCAGGAGAAGGAACGGGGTGGTTTTTAGTCAGTAAGAGTCTGACACTCCCTCCCGCCTCACCCAGGCGGGATAAGTCATTCGATGACTTTTCCCCCTTTTAAAAAAATTACTCGTGACGTTTTCTTTAGGTTAACTAAATAATTCCTTTAACTAACAGTCAGTGAACTGTATAATAACCCCTGTATGGCATAGTACCTACGTCATTTTAAAAACAGGTTGGAATTTTTGACTGGTCATAATAATAAAACGTATTTTTTCAGTGAACCACCTAATTGCTTACGTACTTCCTTTATGCGCATCCTTTAGTATTTCCAAGACTTTTAGTCATTTTCCTCACAACATAGTATTCGTGTCGGCTGACTATTCTTATCAATAGATAACACGTGCGATAACAGCGTTAACAACGATAACACTCCGCCATTTTGTCATTTAGCAATAAGGACTCTGGTACTTATTCCACTTTATTTAAAAGTGAGAACATTTTTTATTATTTATCAGTTATCAATATTTAAGTTGTATATGAAGGTGTAGGAGGAGTAGAGTAAGTAATTGCTTGGTATCGGTTTTAGTTAACACTGGTGCGTGACGATGGGTTTGTGTCTTTCGTTCGACTGCGGCGACTGTGAGGTCTGCTGCAACCCTTGTTGCCTGGCGCTGAGTGCTTGCTGCCTGGTGCCCTGCCTGTGCCCTAATGCATGCGGCCAGCAGCAGCCGCCGCCACAGCAAGTGACGGTGGTACAGCAGCCACCGCCAGTAATATACGAGCAACAACCTCCGCCACCACCCGGCTACCCATACCCACCACCGCCCGGAGGATACCCACCACCAGGCGGCTACCCAGGATACCCACAACAAGGATACCCAGGCTACGATCCTAACCAAATGTACAGATGAAAAGCTTTTAGTTAAGGTAAGAGTAGTGGACGACCTTTCCTTATTATATATTTAACAATGCTTTTGTATAGTGTAGTCGGCTGAGTCATGAGTTGGGAGGTGGGAGGTGGAGGTATTTAGTTATTACTAATATTTTTATATCAATATTGATAAGCACCTGATAATACCGGGGTATCTTTATGTGTTGATGGAAGTTATTAAACAGTGTCACAACAGGTTCGTTAGTGTGACTTCCTAGTCATTTTACTGTTTAGTAAAAATTGTTTTGTAACAAACTGTAAGAAAATCCAAGTAAGTACCTATGTATACATGTGATGCGTATTGTTTTGTGTTTGTTATAAACCGTGTCTTTGCTTGCATATCTGTCTAAACTCGTCTTATTTGTTTATGACATAAGGTCGAATACAGCACAGCTTCGTACTTGGCTAAAACATGTCCATCTAAAATGGTGTTTATTTGACAATAGTCTTAACAAATGGCCACTAAGAAAAGAGCTGTGAACATTTGCCTTCCATCTAGTGCCGATAATTTAATTTACAACACTACAATAAGTGAGTCACTTCTCTGAAACTATAGCCTTTTCTGAGAGCAGCTTAATCAATACTCAGTCTGTCACTGACTTGGCCAGTCTTGACTGACTATAACTATATAAGAGGCTATCACGTGAATAACGAACCTTCGATTTATTAACTGTTATTAACACTTCATTGTTACTACGTGTCAAACTAAGTACCTATTCAGCTGATAGCTTTATTGACTTCAATATTATCAACCAGATACAATTAGGTATTATTTTTTCGACTTATCTCCTAAATATCGATTTCTATACCTATTGGGTGACCTTTGTACATTTTTATTAAATTTGATTACCTCGTTGATTGTGAGAATTGTAATTGAATAACTGTCAAGCACGTCTCTGGAGTCGATTTTATATATAGAAACAGTAATATAATTGAATTTGAAAATAATGTCCAGTATATACTAAAAAAACTATGGTCTCTCTTATAAACCTAAGAGAAGGATAAATTGTTCATAATATAAGGCTATATGGCTTCTATCATTGGAATTTTCTGTATGAATATCACGATAGAAATAGTCACATCATATCATCATCATCGTATCAGCCACAAGCGTCTACTGCTGAAAATAGGCCTCCCCCAATAACTTCCAGACAGACCAGTTGGTGGCAACCTACAAAAAAACCTACAAAAAAATCGGTCCAGTACTTTTAAAACCTATTCAACAAACCTCTTTGTAATATTACTTTCGTAAAGTAACACTCATTAGATGTAGGTATCACAAAATTTTGTTCAGTAATATCTATTATATGTAAATATCTACGATAGCCCATGATAATAATGATTACGTGACTAATCGATGATATAGTATTATAAGTTATGTATGTACATAGATAAGTAAACATGCTGGCGACATGTAATGATGACTAATTGTTTGTCTATTTTAGTAGAATTTAGGTAGTAGGTACTAATATGTTATGTTCAGGTCATATCGAATATGTGAGCCATCAATACTAAATTAACACGTTAACCGCCGCGTTGGTTACCGGTGACCTACGTTAGCGGAGGATTTGCCTTCAACAGTTTTCTGTCGTCAGTCAAAGGCTTAAATGAATTTGCAAAACATTTTTGGCATCTGTTGACTGTGTTTTAATTTGAAATGTATAACGTAATTATTTAATTTTTCTTTCTTTCTAAAACATTTCCGTTTTTTTTCTTCTCAATCGTGGATGCGTTTTCAGACACATCTCCAAATGATTCACAAATGGACAGTGAGACCTTTTTAAAGCCAAAAGTACAGTTTCGTCTATCTAACATAGAATACTAAGACTAACTACTAATACCCAAAACTATTCGAATAGTATTCTTTATACCAGGCTTCATTTGAACAGTATAATAAAATAGAAATTAAATACCAATAAACAATAATAGATACATACGTAGGTATCGTTAAAAACAAATGAATCGAACTATAATTAAAAGTGCTAATGACGATATAGCACGACATGTGATTTGGACTGTTAAGCAAAAAGGTTTTAGGAATACTTACAATTACCTACTTGAGTAACTATGTATTACAGTTAGTACATAGTAAGTACAATAGAAAGGACTTCTCCTTCTTTTTGGTATATAACTAAGTATGTAATATACCTAGACTTAAAAAATGGCATAAATAATCAATCTATTTGTTGAACATCATGTTCTCAACTTGAAGTAATAGGGAATCGAGAACACATAATTAAAATTTACTTTCAAACTTCCTTGTACAAAGCAAGCAGTGAAATCTTTCAGTAAAATCCCATGTGGTATAGTTGTTTACCACTATATAAATTGTATGAGTAATTTTACATTGGACAGAAAAAATAACCATGATTCATTTCATTTGTTAGTAGTTGCATTGAATGTCGCCAAATACATCTTCATAAGTACCCACATCTATACACGTGTGTGCATACACAATCAAATAGGAATCTAAAAGTCTAGACTTTAAGTTCTGTTTTATAATGAAGCTCAAACAACAATAACCACTTATAAAACAAAAATATTAACAGAACATTTTCTATGTTTCAGAATGTGTTGTAACATTAGATGTCGTCCTTGTTGCTGTTGCTGCGTGCCGTGCTGTTGCTGTGACTGTTGCAGCGATAATCAGCGTCCAGTTGTTGTTCATCAGAACGTCATCGTGCAACAACCCAAGGCCGGTCAAGTCGTACAGCCAACTGCACCTCCACCGTACAGCAAGTGAAAACCCTAACCGCAAATGATTTGGCAAAACGTTTACTACTGTGTAAATAGCTTCTAAGATAAATGCTTTCAGATATAATCGACATTATCCATAGGGCTACTTCCGTGTTCAGTTACACTAACTTACTTTAATACATAAAGGAATACTATACTTATTTTAATTATAGAATGTTTTGTTTTTTTCGTTTGTACTTTTTTAGAAGTTGACAAAACATTCTAGTCTTTATTGAATGATTATAGGTTATGTTTAGAACGGTTATTATTTACATAAAACGTATGTACAATTTATGTAAGTCTGTATAAGCAGACGAGGCATTAAATTTACATTATTTTTTGTTGTTATTCTCCTTAAGAATTGATATAATCGTTTATGCAAGTATTTTGTACTTCTGTTTTTTTTAATAAAATTCCTATGTAATTTATTACTGGTATATAAAAAACAGTAAATTATATTCTGCCAAAAACAACTTGAATATCGGCAACAGGGTTATATATGATCTACTTAACGACAAGGAAAAACATCTCTAAAAGTGAAATAAATAAATGAATTATTTTAAAATTGATTTATTTAAATCTTCATTGGAAGTTGGCAGCAATCAAGGATACTAAATGTTACACTGTAAAAAATTGTTATACTTATAAATATTTTTTACCAAATAATTTAGAACATTATGTTATTTTTAAGCAAGTTATTGGTCGGCTTTATTTTATACTGCGTTTCTTAACGTGTGAAGGAAGATAAAGTTATTATCTATAATATTTAACATTTCTTTTCTAAGCTGTGAAAACTGAGATAAGAGATAGTATAAATATTGTCATATAAAAGTAAACTTTGTTAGAGATATTATATCATGCCATTTATACTGCAGCTGTTAATTACGTTAGCTTTACTTGCATTAGTGAAAACACATTTTTCTACAATTTTTCTCTTATTATGCTGTTGTAAAATCTTTGTTCCTTCTATTGTTATCAGTTAATCGAGGCTTCAAGATAGGAGTTCTGTATTTTTCCACGTGTCTACGTTGATAGGAGCCACATTTGTAATTGTGATAATATCGCAAAAAAATATACCAATCTTACCTCGATTGTATATAAATTAAAAACACAATATATATACACAAATTACAAAATATATACACAAATTACAAAATATATACAAAATATATGAAACACTTAAAAAAAGACAACACAAATATGTACTTGTAAATAATTGAAATTATTGTCATTCTGATAATAAAACATAGCAGGCTTGTTTAAATTATATTTATAAGAAATACGAATGTATAGTTGTGCATGTGTACAGTTTGTTATATGAATTTAATAGGAAAAATAACTAGACCTCAGTCAAAGTACGTAAGGAACTAGTTTTATATAGATTTACATATTTATCACACTTATTACAAAACATATTTTATTACGTATCTATTTTATGAGATAAAATTCTATTAATGTTTCCATTGTTTTATTTTGTTGCCACAAAATATTAATTTTTTAATGTATCTCGTCAGTCTACGATTGCCTACAGTTTTAGTGTATTTAGTTAAATACTCTAAGCCTACAGTAAATATAATAAGTATGTACCTAATATGAAAATCGATTTCATCAATTAGACTGCTGTATAATATATGTACATGTTTGTATAGTATTTTATATAACAGACGACCCAATTTGTATTCATTACCTGTCTCGATATAGGTCAACAATACATTGTAACCACTAAAACAATTATTGTTACATAAGAGAAACCAATGCAATCACATTTCGTTCTGTGATAATAAAGCAAAAGCCTTTGCCGAACAAGCTTTGAAAGCTTCCATTTCATTCAGAAAAGGGAATAAAAAGGAAATAAGATGAGAAAAGGTCAAATCAATATTATTTTAGGTTAGGTTGAATCCATTTTAGGTTGACTTTAAAGATTTTGTGCAAATATTTTATACGGTCATGGTGTATATATATAATTTTAGTTAACAAATATAATTAAAAACAATGGTACGCAATTGGATAGCCATATTAAGGTCGTTTATTTAATTAAAACCAGATTAGCTAGCTAATTCGTTGTCCAAATTATTAAGTGACAATAATTTGAGTGCACGGTTGGTGCGGTGGCTGGGCAACCGGCTGCCGCACGGAACAACAATTTGTGTGATCCACAAATTTGTTGTTTCGGGTCTGGGTGTCATTGTGTACGTGAACTTGTATGTTTGTAAACGCACTCACTACACAGGAGAAAATCCTAGGGTGGGGCAACGTTATTTAAACTGTCAAACACCAAGCGGTCACCGGTGACCGCAACCTATTGTTCTATAATTGTGTCTGCAAAACCGGTACTCGACGAGTTAAACAAAAAAAAAATAAAATCAATAGTACCAAATCTTCTAAGTTACAGTAGTAAACGGTTACAGTAGAACCGTTTAACAGAATAGCTACTGCTAAAACACATCTGTAACACCAGAGGCATGGCGACTACGATGCCAAGCATGTGGGTATATGAAAGTCATATGACTAAAGAGTTCAGAGGCCGTTCGGCGCTCTGATTGGCCGGCACCAATAAAGCAACCAATGACAGCGCCTAACGCGTACTCGTTACGATTACTTTAAACGTAAAACAAACTCATACTAAGACCTCTGATAATAATACGAGAAGAAGATCGAAGTGCCATTATGTGAGGAGTTGTGTAAAGGAAAAGGTAGGTGATGCACATCCTGTATGATAACGATTTGATGACTTCTGACAAGGTCTCAGAAATACTCGTAAAAGTCACTTGGAACAAAAAACGTTCACAAGTTTTCAAAAGGTTTAAATTATAATATTATTTACGCTCTCAAGGCTCTCCAGATAGTAAGAAAAAAATATCATGAGGTAAATGACGATAATCTTAAAATAACGTGTATCAAAACAATCGGGCGGCTTAATTATTACCATAATTGGGCATTGTTTTAAAAGACTTGACGGTGAGTAATCCAACCGATGTAAATAAGATAGGCAATCACTATCAACCAAAACAGATATCCACTGATGATTCATGCATTTTTTAATATAGTATACATATATATGATGTGCGTCGTAAATATGTGTCATATACTTACTTACATATTTGTATGTAACTTCCTACGTTTTATCGACTGTCCTTTTAAGGACTGAACAAGTTAAAGTAAGAAGGTGGGTACTAGTAAATCTTTGTAACGTAGAAAAATAAAATATTTAGAAGGCAAATAGGACTAAAGTTTTGTCCTTTTCATTTCGGGTGTAATGTCATTGAGATGTCATTTTTTATTTATGTTTACGCTGACGCTACCGCTGCCGAGCTGACTGAAATTAAAGAATAATTTTTTTTTAATCTTTAATTTCAGAGACAGTTGCAGCGGGCTTATAAATTCCGAGAGAGAACATTGTGCTTTCGACCTTTTCATTTTTGGCATGACGTCATTGACGTGTCGTTTTTTTTTATTGTTAGTTGAAAATAAATCATGATGGTATAGACCTTATAAAACGCATAGGCGTTTAATAACTATATCTATGTATATCAATGGATTTATGGTAAAATAAGTCAACCGGACTGAACCTTGACTGGTCGTGTACCTTGGTTTTTACAGTTTTTAGTCAGCAAGAGTCTGACACTGCCTCCCGCCTCACCTAGGCGGGAGAAGTCATTCGTGAATTTTCCCCCTTAAAAAAAGCCTTAACTCACGTGAAAAAGGTTTTAGGTTCGATTACTAATAGAGTACACATTTTTTAATTGCTATTTGTAGCACGGAGTCTGGAACTGTGCCCGGTGTACGGTAATGCTTATTCATAAGTCATACTATAACAGGTGCAAAGTGGGCGTTACATTGAACATTTACATTTCCGCATAAGCCCTTCGGGGATTCACGGGCGTGACGTTGTGTAATGTTAAGACGATAATAACAACGTGGGTATATCTTTACAAATACACCGTGTTAACGTACATTATGTTACTCTTAGGCATTACACAACAAAACTGGCTGAAATTTTGATAATACTTACTATTATCAAAATTTCAGCCATAATTAAATTATTTATACCTAAATCCTATACATTATCACATGAAGAATTGATTAATAGATACCAAATCTGTTTTTTGGAACTTGACTCATTGACACTGTATTATTTAAGTTGAAAATGAATTGTCACGTCTATATTGTATGCTACCATTTTCCTTAGCAATTGTACCTATTTGTGTACAGTACTGACTGACGATATACCTTGACCAACGTGAAGTAAGCTACAATCGTATAGTTGTCTCTGTCGCACACATGCTTTTCGCCTTATTAGCGTCCTACTCACTACGCTAACGCCTAACTTCGGAATGGTCAAGATCTGTCAAGTCTTCTATATTTATACCCAAACTATGAAAAAGGCCATAAGTGACTCATAAAATTCGTACGAAAAAAATATTTGGTGCAGATTATCGGTGATTTTATCTTATCGGTTTGAACACTAGCATCGCTTTAGCTAACAAGTAGGCTACATAATAAGTCGTTTGTAAAAATAAATAACAGTTTAGTAACAGGGTCAGCGGTTGGGTGCACTCAAATAAATGTAAGTTTCATTTTATTTAAATATAAAATATTTTATGATCATAGTGATCACTATATCATAATTTTTCAAATAAGCACTCAAAATGGAACAAATACCGAATAAATACTTATTATTTTTACTCGATTTATCAATTTTGAGTATTTATCCGAAGAATCGCCCATTTCTACTGATCATATCAATATTATGTAACAGTAGTGTAACAACATTAATTTGATAGTGTGTTTATGTTTATAAAGAAAAAAAAAACAAAATAATGGAATGTTTTCCATATTGAAAAACTACATACTTAGTGAAAAGTTTTCCATGAAAAAGTCAAAGTCAAAGCATTTATTTCAATTAATTCTTAATTAGGCACTTTTGAAACGTCAAATATTGAATTGTCCGTCCGTCTGTCAGTGAAGCTGGCGTTCGTTCCAAAGTAGAATAAGGTATAATTAGATAAGTGTCTTTGTGACAACAAAAAATAAATTATTTTGTAATTACTTCAGTATCTTTTAATTTATTTTTCTATTTTAATGGCGTGGCAGAGTATAATACATAAATGTAGAGGTATGTATAATACATATAGTTGGTATACGTCACCACACTGAAGGTACCCCTCAAGCGAGTTTCGTAAGGTTCGACTAGAGGAATAGGTACACAATAGGCAGAAATTGGACAGCACCGCGCTCTAATGAACGTGATGATCTAAAATTCTTCTCATTCAAGGAATTCCTCCCAGTGTAGTACTGACTATCTACTGAGATAGGAAATACTTTAACTAGTTTTTATGAATATTAGGTAGTGAAAGTTTTGTAGTATAAGTAATGTGTTGTCAGAAAAAGTTTTCAGCAGTACTTTCCTTATTATTTTCACTGTTAACTTCTGTTATTATTCTCACATATTTATTTACGTAATAGCTGGTTTGAAATTGTTGAACAAAAATTCAATACAAACCGATTTAACTAATCTTATCAATTGGAACGTTTATAAGATTTCTTATAGATTTGGGCCAAAGATACATACCTACTTCTTTTTGTTAAGCTCCTACTTACTTGTGGGTACCTACCTACCTTATGAATTCTTAGTTATATTTTAAAATAATAATCTATATATATCTACATCTTTATATATATAATTGAATTCATTTTTCCCTTGGTCATCACGCGTGAATGGTTGGATCGATTTCACTAAATCTTTTCTTGTTGAATTTGTTATTATTATGAGAAGATTCTTAAGACATAAATATTCTAAAAATCCTACGGGAACAGGAATCTGTCGTCGCCATCATCAGAATAACAGGCAATTCTTGCAAGCATGACATCCAATTAATGTGAATATTCAAGTTAATCGGAGAGCGATGCTGCTGGACTATATAGGGTATAAATCCATTAGTCGTTAAATCGGTTCTTAGAACATCCGTAGGGAGGGTAGAAGTGATAAAATATAATATATAAAATATAAAGTGATAATATATAAAGTATTTGTATCGTGTAATAAATATTTCGTAAATACAGAATTTTGCGTTCTCTCGAATAGGAACTGAGTTGCTATGACAGAGAGGTTTTGCTTTTCGGTGTCACGAAACGAAATCTTAAAGATGTTGATTGAAATTATTTCAATCGTTTTGAGTTAGGGATAGCAAATACCCTTTTTGTTCTCTTTATCGTATTATCTTGACGATGAGATAATAACTTAGTGTAGGTACCTAACCTATATTTAACTAGTATGTACTCTATATGTATAATCAAGAATAATTAAATATGAAGAAATATCTAAACGACCTGTTCATGCCTTTTCCAGATCATGGGAGATTGCTTCAGTTGCTGTTGTGGTGATAGCGGTGGAGGCGGAGTGACTGTAGTAGACCAGGCTTATAATAACGATGGAGGTTTCCAGCCACCACCACCAGATGGCGGTCAAGTAACTGATCACTCCATGGATATGATGAGATGACATGACTGAACAGAATGATCCGAGCCACACAAGCCATGAAACTAACTAGCCACGATGCTGCGTATTCATCATTTAATTTATTTTTAATTAAATTTATTTTTTAATTATTACTTTGAGAATTTTATTAAGTCTTTTGTCCACAATTTTAAACTATTAATTATTCCCCTTCTCGTTAACATAACATAATATCACGCCTTTTTATCCCCGAAGGGGTAGGCAGAGATGTACATTACGGCGCTCAATGCCACTGTGTAATGTAACAGCCACTTTTCACTATTTATGTTATGAGTCCCATGTAATAGGGGGTGAGCCTATTGCCATATTGCTACTATATTACTGTTCTCGTTTAAATTTTATGAAATCCCTCCCTACTCCCTACGTGTTCTAAGATCCGTAGTTTCTCCTTGTTTTCTGATGATCATGCAATTACTTACCAGTAACCTTTGACCATGCACCTATCAAAATATTATGCAATATTCTTCTATAACGAGATGTCAAGAAATCTCATTTTTATTAAGACAGGTTTATGTAGGATATTAGGATGCAGATATTGTGTAGAATCTTGATTGGCGGATGGAATTAGTAGTTATCAAATCAAATGATATAAAATTGCATTACCTACATAGTAGCAATGTCGTTTGCTAATTTTATAGTGATGACGGTTAATTAACGTTTTAACATCTTTTGTCAAATTACTTATTCATTTTCCCGCTTTAATTATGCCCATTTTGATATTATTCATCCATCCGTTTCAAGTGTGGGAGAGCCATGCTTCGGCACGAATGGGCCGGCTCGACCGGAGTGATACCACGGCCTCACAGAAAACCGACGTGAAGCAACGCTTGCGTTGTGTTTCGTCGTCTGATTGAGGTTGCCGTAGGCCCAATTACCCTCCCCTTCCCTAATCTCCCCAATCCCTGAATCCCCAACGATCCTCAAACTCCTAATCCCCAAAAGGCCGGTAACGAACTTGTAACGCCTCTGGTTTTCCAGGTGTCCATGGGCGACGCCGATTGCTTACCATCAGGTGATCCGTCTGCTCGTTTACCGGCTTAATGCCATAAAAAAAATCCGTTTATGGCAATTGTACAAGCATTGAAAGGTAGATGGTGTTACTGGCGTGCTGTTATTGTATTATTATTAATCAGAATTTCATGATAACGTATTAAGCTAGTTTAACTTTAAAGTTAATGAAAATCAGTTTTTATAATTTCTAATCTACTAGCACACCCCAGCTTCATCCAGATTCTATTTTCGGATGTTCGCTGTAAATAACTTAATAAAATCATTCATTTCCTCAAAGGAATTTGTTTATGTAAATAATAGGTACATTTACAGGTTGAACAACTAAAAAGATTCTTTATTTTTTTGTGAGTGTTGGTAATCAGGTGGAATAGATATAATCTATACAGATAAATAAAATTGCCGTGTCTGTTTGTAATATTGAAATAACCGCTTTTAAATAACTACATCCGTATGAATATACCTTCATACCTATACCAAAATAACATTTTGTTTATTTTTTGTCTGTTTGTCTGTTTGTACTGACTAATCTATGAAATGGCTGGGAACTTTTACAGGCAGGTAGTTAAAGTACTAAGGAGTAATATAGGCTATTTTTATTTCGGAAAATTGAAACAAAAAAGTATTGGCCTAAAGCTCACAAACTACGCAGAGGAAGTTGCAGGCAACAGCTAGTTATCTAATAAGCTCAAACTCAATAACCGGGTCATCTAAGATAAAACAAATGACACGTCAATGACGTCAGACCGAAAATAACAAAGGCAGAAATATCCCGTGTTGCTCTTTCTAAATCCAAATTATTGCCGCCTTTAGAATAACACGAAATAAAAACAAATGACACATCAATGACGTCAGACCAAAAATGACAAGGGTAGATATATGTTGTGATCTCTTTCTAAATCCAAGTTATTGCCGCTATTAGAACAACAAAAAAATTAAAACAAATGACAGAAACATATCGAGTTCTCTTTTTAAATCCAAAGTAGTACAAACTATTTCTTTTTTGTATTTGTATAAAAATAGCTTAATGTTTTTCGCATAATTACAAAATCCTTTATGACCAATATATTCATAGTTAAAAACTAAAACACAATTCTTATCGTATGATCGTATTAACGAAAGAAATTGACATATAATGAGCTTAAACACAGTATATATTTAGTTTTTTGCCACCTTTAAAGACCAATAAAGTAATAAACCAATATACGACAAATAAACTAATATCTGTCCACTGGGCCTTGTAGGAAGTATGTGTCAATCAGTAAAATACATTTGTAGGTGCATTTTTCATATTTAATTCACCAAATAAAAATAAAATCGAATTCCATTCATCAATTAAATTATACTCTAAAAATCTTCACAGGCGATAATAAAATTAGTGCTGGATATATAATCGAGATTGTCTTTTCTTTACATTTTTTGAATGATACTAAAGTATTAAAAATGTAACAGTTATACATATTTATGTTTCTTCTTTGGCGTTTCAACCGACAATTCTGCAGAGTACGTCGTAGGATTTGTGTGCAACTTCACCGCCGTTGAACGAAATGTAGCAACATCCATGACTAGGGTGCACCTGAAATAATATAAAAAACACATAAATACCCATTCATTCATGGACAACTTTAGATAACATAACATTTCGAAGGAGTAAAACGTGATGGTGGTCTTGCACCAAATCTGTATTTTGCTGTCATTCGTCCTACCTAAATAATTCATATCATTTTCATATTCATGTCCTAAATAAACATTTAGAACTACTTGGTTCAAGTTCAGACAAAGATTGTTTAACACCTTGAACGCCATGGGGGCCACGCTAGCAGAGGATTTACCTTCAACAGTTTTCTGCCGGCAGTCAAAGTCTTAAATTACTTACTTTGCCGGGTGTGATAGATCCCATGTGTGTAACACGACCAATGTACAGAGGTTCGCCGCTGTGGGTGTTGCCAGCGGGAATAGCTCCGACTGGAACCTGGCCGTTGCTGCTGGGCAACCAGCGGACTGCGTGAGATGAAGCACACAGCACCTGAAGATTAAACACCAGTCTTGTTATGCATCTGTTTTTTCTCGAAAATATTAAACTTAAACTCAAAAGCATTTATTTCAATTAAACTGTAGTTTGATACTTTTGAAATGTTACCAAATATAAAATAAATAATAGTCTGTCAGTCTGTCCGTCAGTGAAGCTAGGCGTTCGTTACAAAATGTAGATTCGAGTGGAAAAGAACTAGCAAGAAACTCCATTCGTTACTCCAACATCAGTCAGTGCGTATATCATAAACTTATCAATTTATCATCTAGATGATGATCTATAATATCTATAAGTACTTGAATCTGTAGAAAGTATCCATCAACATCTTCATCCGGAATAAGTCCACTACTGGTAGGTATCTACAATAAACTTTACTAAGAAAGTGAAAATAAACAAGATTGTTAATCATGTTGATAATATCAAGATGACGTCAACAAATCGTTTATAAGAAGTTAATTTCAGTCCAAACTGAGACCAGATAGATAGGCTATAAGGAAAATGCTACTGAAAATTATTCAATGACGAATTTGCAAAAATAGTAATAAAGTATGTTTTTAATGATTAACTCGTCGAGTACCGGTTTTGTAGACACAATTATAGAAAAATAGGTTGCGGTCACCGGTGACCGCTTGGTGTTTGACAGTTTAATGGCTTTAACTTAGATCCATTTATTAGAGAAGCAGAGATTAGTCTTACTTCAAAGTTGTGGACAGGAACTTCTCGACCTGCATGTGGGATGTAGGCGACTTGGTGTTTGATGGCCAGCTTTCCTGGGACGAACTCTCCACTGTGGTGTGCCCTAATCACACAAAGAGGGCTACCATCCCAACCTTCTCTGCCTGCTACGAAAGCTCTGTGCCTCAGTATACCCACTTCAGGTCCTGTACTGGGTACCCATTCAATTGTATCTGTAATAAAATAGTGTCATACTGGCCTGAACATTTTCACAACAAATTACGTAGAAGAAATCGTAGAATAAATTTCTTAGAAGATGTTGAATCCACGCATCTAACCACTAACTACAAAGCGAAAGCAAAAGTTAGTAAGAGGATATTAAGAATCAAAAAATCTTTAGATACTAAATATGTGTAAAAGTAACTCATTGCTATGGCTTAACCTATGAACTAATTCATAGATTGTGTTCTTACTAGTAATTTTCTTATTTTTTTCCTGCATCTTAAGTTCAAGCAGGGACAAGCCTTTTCCAACTGTAGATATTCCCATCTCAGCAGTGGACAGTAAATTAGCCCATGGATTACTTGGTTGTGGCTGAATTCTGATTTCTGTAAATATAAGTACCATATTGTCTAAATATATTTATTTATTAACTCGTCGAGTACCGGTTTTGTAGATACAATTATAGAACAATAGGTTGCAGTCACCGGTGACCGCTTGGTGTTTGACAGTTTATGTTTGTGGGACCTATTATTGCGCCCTGTGGAATCCCTCCCTTTAAGGGTTGATAATCTTTCTAACGAATTTAAATTTCATTCAAACAGTTGTCATAGTACATCCTGTTTATTAATACATATACTTACTTTACAACAAACAATTTGTCTATTAATCGCTAAATCGATTGTAGGTTCTTTTGTCACTCATTATTTGTCTTATCTTCATATTGGTAAGCCGATTCCACGAACAAGATTAGAGGGCTTAATGGTTGTGATAAATATTGTAAGTGTTGTGCGCAATTACGCCCTTATTGAACTCAAGTGGGTGGTAGGTACCTAACTTGAGAATGATGGTAGAAAGTACTGTATTGTAATAATCATACGCACCTTCAACAATGGTGACTGGAGTAGGTTGTGGTGGTGGAGGTGGCTGGTGGTAGATGTAGTTGGTGACAACGGTTGGTGGTGGGACTGGTTCTGGTGGGGGTGGTGGTGGAGGTGGTTGGTACACCGGCATCATTACTGGAGCCGGGACGTAAGTAAATCCACCAGGAGGAGGTGGTCCACCATAGGGTGGGTTGCCGTGTGGATCTATAAATTTCAAGATTTGCATACTTTAAACTGTTAGGATAGGTTCGTGTCATTATACAAGTTACTTACACATAGTTAGCAACTGAATAATATTTGGAAATTGTAAAAATAAATTAATTAGGTACTTTAGATTAATATTCTACTCTTTCTTTAACTAGATATGTTTATCATAAACAAAAAAACATTAACCTCATTACAACAGGAAAACTTTAGTAATAATCTATTCTAGAACGTACATTACACAACAAAAATATTCCATTACAAATCGATATAACAAAACAAAGGTACATCAAAACAAATGAAGAGAAGTAGAGAAGTAAGTTTAAATAATGAACGTAACTTACGCTGAGACATGGTTTGAATTTTTTAATTAATAAACAAGACACAGAACTGTTTGTCACAGGTGATTGAAAACTCACTGGGCACGAAAGGTGTTAATCATTTATTTGTACCTATCATCTGATTCACAACGTTATCATATCTGAAACAGTTGAACGCAGTTTTTGATTAGATAAATAATACTTCGAACACAAAAAATCTGTTGAGTATATTGGTATTTTATTGCAATTACCGGATGTATCAATGAATGCTAAGGAAAATGACTGATTCAATCTACGTCAGTTAGCTAAATTCGAGTCGTTTCTTGAAAAGCATTACAGGAAAATTAATGTATCTTAATCCGGATAAAGATATTATGTCACAAAGAGAATGTGCATGATTATGTAGATACTGACTGTTCTTTAGAGATCCTGTGCACTGCCAGATAATTATTTGATGTTTATTTATTTATTTGATATGTTTCATGCACAAAATGTGTAAGAGGTGGACTTAATGTCGCAGGCATTTTCTCCTAGTCTGACCTTTGGGTGACAGAGAAAAGTAAATATTTAGATCCTTACTCCTAAATATTTATTTGAGATTCATTTTTGCTCTGTTCAGTTCAGTTGATTTCGAATCATGCATGGTTGGTGCGGTGGCTGGGCAACCGGCTGCCGTGTAACGTGTCGCGGGTTCGATTCCCGCACGGAACAACACTTTGTGTGATCCACAAATTGTTGTTTCGGGTCTGGGTGTCATATGTATGTGAACTTGTCTGTTTGTAAACGCACTCACGACACAGGAGATAATCTTAGCGTGGAGCAAAGTTTAAAAAAAAATCAAAACTGAAATTCAGACACAAAAATCATACAAAGACAATAACATCAATTACCGTTGTTACTATGCGAAGGAAAGATAAACAAAAAATCGTATTAATAACAGTAAATAATTTCTCGGTAGTAGAAATACGGTGTAAAAAAACTACGGGACGACCAGAACGTGCATAAAAAATTACTTGTCAAATCGACAATCCACTTTATACTTAGTGTGACGATCAAAATATATTTTCAATGATGTTATATTTTTCAAAATGTTACGATTAGGTTATTGGTAAAATGTACCCATTAGCGTCATCTATTCGAATATACATGAACTTTTTAGAAAGTTATTGTGTTAGATTGTTTGTGATAAGATTACAAAAAACAGCTACGTATATAATATGCCGTTTTCTTTTAAATATCTCTTGTTGATCTCAAAATAACAAGTTCGAATGTTGTGTAGGTATTGTATGTTCGATACGCAAACCGGGATAACGCAACTTTAATTTCGTGAAAGAGGAAGAAAAAAAAATGTAACATTACTTCATAGATAGTAAAAAAAAATGCCAAAATGTACACCTAGGTAAATACATACTTATAGTACTTACAACAAGAACTAGTAAAGGTTCTACGAATTTTATGCAATCAAAACCTTGTGGGACTTAGTCCTATACCTCTAATTATGTACACGTTACATTTTAATTTGGAACACAAAATAATTTAAAACATGGTTCATGGCAATCATTAATACAAGTCATTAAGTGAAAAGCTATAGAACGTTCATTTTCTTTTAAGTAATAATCCATGTCATATTTTTGTAATCACATTTTGAAATGATTTTAATATCTAGTAGTGTAATTAATGTATTGGAAAAATAACTAGTTCACTATTGCCTACTACGTTTACTTCAGCTTTTTTCTACATTTGTATCAGTGTCTTCTGAGTGGAAACATGTTCTACCGTCATTTTCGCCCTTTTACCATCATTTGCAATATTTTTGGCTTACCAAAACCCATAGTAACTTCTGATGGAAACTCCACCAAGATTAACACGTGGCTTAAAATTTGGTCTTTGTTATTTGCAGCAGCTTTAATCAGTAGCTACGCATTCTTACGCGATAGACTTCTCAGATTTGACGTCAAAAGAGATCTAGGAATTATCCCTGATGTCACCGATTTGTTCGTGAACGTTATTATTATAATCATTAATCTTGTTAACAGTGAAACCATTTCCATTAACATTCATGAAGTACTGGATGATATTTTTAAACATTTGAACATCACCAGCTATGTCCTAGAGTTGTTCGCTTATAAAATGTACTTGTGGTATTTCACAGCAATGATCATGTTTATCATTTTGATTGTCCTAGAAATATTAAATGACTTTCCTCCATTTATTCTCTTGATAAGAATACCAACGTTCCTATCAATTTTACACTTAATCATGCATTTGTATTTATTGTCAGCGCTTCTGAAGGTGATAAATCACCAACTTTCAAGAACACTTATTGAGGATAATGTTTCTAAAATTATTTCAACTGATAAAATTGAAACGAAATACCTCTTTAAGTACATGTTAAATACAAATATTGACTTTATTGAAATAAATGACATTGTACACCTTGATTTAAAATGTGTCTGTAAACTGTATGATAGACTAAGCATTTGCATTCATCTTTTGGAAAAATGCTATGGTTTGCAGGTAAGATTTGATACTGTTTTTTAATAGATGAAAGTACTTTTAACTCTAAACACGTGATAATTACTTGAAAATCAAGATTAGTAATCAAAACCTGTATAAATATACACTTAAGAAACTGATATAGTATCTACTTGAATTTCAAGTACAATATCCCTTAATGAAGAACTGAAATATTCCACATCACTCAAATTGTCCAACTGTGTGAGTTTTACTTTTACTTACTTACTCTTTAACTTTTTACTTGGGATAATATACCTCTAATATGTATTTTAACTTAATTTTATAGATCATCATACTGTACAGACTTTGTTTTTGGTAGCGAATACCAAGTGCGGGTTCTAAAAAAAATCTTGATAGGATTGGTCAGAATGATGACGGATAGTAATCCAGAAATAGATTTCTGATGATGTATCTGAGGTATTGACTGTGATGGAAATCGATATGGTAAAAGAAAAAATATAGTGATTTATGACGATTTTTCTGTTTTTGTACAGCTGCTTACGGCATCCATAAATTCTACCTTTCCATAAGTGCTGCAATATTTGTAATGTTTACATCAGCCACATCAATATTGTCTTCCTCATTGCAGATTTTCTTATCGATCTGGTTAATGTTCACAAGTGGAGTGGTTGGCGTGACAGTGATCGTGACCAATCAGGTAGTACTTTTTTTTTTTTTTTTTTTTTAAGGGGGGAAAATCATCGAATGACTGCCCCCGCCTGGGTGAGGCGGGAGGGAGTGTCAGACTCTTACTGACTAAAAACCACCCCGTTCCTTCTCCTGCACGTCGAGCCGGAGCCCCGGTTACCCGTTAGGTTCTCCGCGACTCCGAATCGGCATCGGCCCTATTGGGCCCCATCTGTGGTGGTCTGATGGCTCTTTGAGGCGCGCGCGGAACGCGACGCGCCGTACGCTCGGGTCTGTTTCTGGTCGGACGGGGAGCCACCCATGCTCGCCGTCCGCAGGCCCGCGCTTACGGTGGCCGGAGATCGTCCCGCGATCCCCGACGCCCGGTGTGTCCTTCGCGATGGCTGGGTTGCGAGGAGGCAGCGCTTCGCTGCCTCACGCGTCCCGCCTCCTCCTTAGCTAGCATGACTGCTTCGCAAAAGGAGGAGACGGCATCCCAATCCCCCTCGCTCCGCATCATGGCCTGCACTAGGCCCGGACGCGAGAGGTCGCCATCGCCGATCACTTCCCTGAGGACACGGCGGTGCTCAGCCCACGAAGGGCATTCTCCCACCGTGTGTTCCACCGTGTCCTCAGGGCGGTCCTCGCAGTGATGACACCCGGGCGTTTCCTCCCGCCCCATCAGACACAGGTACCTCCCGAAACTGCCATGTCCGGTGAGGACCTGCGTCAGGCGGTAGGTGAGGACGCCGTAGCGTCTCTCAAGCCACTCCTCAAAGAGGGGACTTACCGCTGCGATGGCAGCGAGCCCAGCCCTCGGTTGCGACAGTCGTTGCTGCCATTCCGCCATGAGATCGCGCCGGAGCTCATCCCGCCACGCACTTATCTGGCGCGGCAGCGGAGTTTCGCCCCGGCGACGTGCCTCCGCGCGCATGCTGTGCACGCGCGCGAGCACCTTCGCCTCCAGATCCCACGGCGGTAATCCGGCAATCAGGTAGTACTTGGAATTAGCATGTGACACTTCCTGAAGTGATGCTTGATTAGAAATATATGTCCGGGTTCGTCCCTCTTTGCAGTAATTCTATGTATGTTTGTTCGGTTTATGACCCAGTCTTATCCCCAAATACTGAAACGACACTCAATTCTAAATCGCGCCTAAGTATATCTTGGCACTAAAAATCTTTGTAAAATGACAGAAATGGCACGATATTTATGTAAAACTTAAAATTGAGTAGCCTTTCGGTATTCGGGCATTAGAAAAATAATTGTAAGGTTCAAGTTTGACTTAATAACTTTAGTTTGTACGGATAATGAATTTAAAGAAGAGATTCAACAGATGAAACAAATAAGAAAGGATAGATAAGGGAGATCAGATCGAAAATTATGTGATTATTTAAAACCAATGTTAATGAAGAAATTTGTAAAGATACATTACGTCATGGCTATAAAATATTTGAAAGGAACAATGTCCAAAATGAGGAAACTGATCTTACATAGGTATCGTAGAAACAAAGGCCTGTCACTGAAATAACAGTGTGGTAGCATTTCATAAGATTGCAGTCATGGTCTGTTTGATAAAAGTTATTACGACATTGAGGTGAATCAAACATTACTTATTTGTAAACAATAGTGATCTCATTGAGTTCTATTATTAAACTACATCATTCGAATTACGACTTAAACGAGCACTATCACACTGTTGAAAGTAGGTACTATAGATTTGTAATACATTTGTTGTCCAGAGTCATAAAGTTTGAATTTGTTTATTATAATTGTCACAATCATCATCAGCTGGAACAACGTCTACTACTGTAGAAAAGTATTCTAAATAAATTATTATATTTTTCGGCTTACTTACGTAATCATTTGACGAGGAACTCGATTACTTTCCAGTCATGCTAGAGGCTATACATTACCTGCAGCAGCGCGACAGTCGCTGCGTTACAGGTCGCAGAATACTGTTCATGAATATGAGCCTCTAGCATGGCTTAAAACTAGTCGAGTTCCTCTTTAAATAATTACTCATAATAATTAATTTAGTATGTCTCACGAAAGTTATAATATAAAAAAGTAATCTTTCCCTTTAGGTAGAAAATTATGCTCCTGTATGATATTGACAATCACTACGTTAACAAACCTCTAATTGCTCGCATTAAAGCAAAATGTGTTTTAATATTTTTTATAAGGACGGATATATATTTTTTTTTTGTTATTATATGTATAATATTATAAGTCACGGGCAAGTGCTGAAAATCAGCGCCGCGACTCGACCACACTCGTGTCACGGCATTTAAGCTGAGCTCTGGCCTTTTTGCGCCGTCTTTGTTATATTGTTTTACATTTTTTGTTATTGTACCTTGTGACGGTGTGCAAATAAACTATTTTTCTTTCTTTCTTCTTCTTTCATATGAAATAGATAAGATGGGAACAAGACATTTGCTCACGCTACGTTTCTTTTTTAATATGGATGCCCTTCTGGATATGCACACAGACGTACATAATCATATAATAAACACAGTTTTTAGAAATTAAACTGCGTCAACTTGTGGTACTAATTTTCAATCTATTAATCGATAGGTGAATAGGTCATGCAAATAATTTTGTTTTTTGAAGTCTGTTTTCATGTTATTAATAGCCTCCATTTGTATTAATTTCCAGGCTACTCTAAAATGGTTAGTGATCATTAAAAGCATTCTGCCTTTCTACTGGTGTTTCCTTGGATGCTATATTGACGACCAAATGAACAAAGAAGTTGATCGAACTATTACTATGATTGTTAAGTGTCTCATAGACTTCAAATGCGGTATGTATTATTTTTATTATTGTAAAATTGCTATCAAAACTAAGCTATATAATATGAGAAAAGTAGAGCTCCATTTGCAACAAGGATCTTTAAATAGCTATGTATTTGATTTCTCGAAATACTTTTATATCTTTGACTTTAATTTTAACCGACATATCAAACCATGCATCGACTAAGTAACGTATTATTTTCATTTCAGTGCAGTCAAAAAAGGCAATTTTGGAAACGTTCAAGGAGCTAGTCAGTAACGACCGTCTTCAGTTCACCGCTTGCAGCTTATTTAAATTGAGCTATTCGATGTTACTTGGAACCATGCTTAACGTTATAACGTACAGCATAATTTTAATACAGATGATTTAGAATAATATAATAGGAAAATGTAGTAACTTCGGCTTTGCATAAGTTAAATAAAAATCCAACCCACTTTTCAGAAGCGGAATAAATTTCGTTTTTTGTCGTCGCCGTCACTCTAATGAACATGCGTGTCTCACAGTGTCACGGCACCCCTCTGCAACTCTCTTTCTCTTCTTATTCTCTACTCTCTTATTCTTCTTCTCTTGTTTAAACTTTCTTTGCCAAGATATCATTACTCACTAATTTTATTCATATTTTAGACTATTCCTTCTTTTAGAAGTAATTGTGACTTATACTCATTCCTAAAGTATTTGGATTCTTTATAACCTTTTGTTTCACAAGATTTTTATTAGAATATGTATCTGTAACCAATGCTATCTTGAATACATTTTCAGACCTTGTTGAAAGTAGGTTACTCGTTATCAAACCTAATCTACTAAAATATCCATCGACGGTTCAATTTTAAGATCGGGTACTGTGACTTAGATACCATTTTGCTTTCTTGGTCAGATAGGGTTAAAATTGACCTTAATATAACTAGTACATAGTCAAATACTTATGTTCTGTTAGCGTGGTTAACACTTTAAGAACGTAATACTAGATTGAATCAATCTTTAATTGTGCTTCGACTGTGTCAAAACAATATATTAAAACGAAAGCAAAACGAGTTTGTTTTCGTTTTAAAAACTTTTTATATGGGATAAACTATTGGCGCTACAAGTGCGTTATTGGCCTTTTGGGGTTTAGAAATTTTAGGATTGTTGAGAATTTCGGGATTGCGGAGATTGACGAAGGGGGTAATTGGGTCTCCGGTAACCCCATTCACACGACAGAACACAACGCAAGCGTTGCTTCACGTCGGTGTTTCAATTATCCCAAGAATTGGTGCCTTTTGAGAAGATTATATCAACTAGCTAGCAGTAAAACAATATGGATCATGTAATATTATATAAATATCATAATTTATTAGAGATTCTACAAATTAATCCTTAAAAATAATTACAAATAATTTTATGATCATTAATTTGAAATCTTAGCCTAACCAGTTTTACAATTTATGAAAATAATACGAAAATTGTTTTGATTTCCAATCCAAATAAGGACATACATACTAATACATAGCAAACATCGATTCATATCTTATTGTCATAAATAGATTGATTGTAATAAAATATTATTACATCTTGCACTTATCTCGAGGAATTTCCCAAACTTCACGTGTGTGAGTGTTTTTCCAAATATTGGTGGAGATGAGCTAATTTTTCTTTGTATTGTTGTTTGTAGTCAACAACATTAAGTTTGATCTGTTTGCTTCTAGGATAAAGTTCTTCTACGAGTGTAGTTGTTGAAGAGGTTAAAATTGATTTCAAAATGTGGTCAATTCGTTGCTGAAGATGTTGATAGTTTATATCACTGCGCAAAATATATTGCTCAACCAATCTACGATCAATTTCATACTATCCAATTAGATCACATTATTGTTTCTTCAACTTTTCCGTTCTCTTTAAATAGTTTGTTTTCTTCACATTCTTCATGTGAATCACTTTTTTCTTCCTTTCTGTAATTTACACAAAAACTTTTCTTTTCTAATACCCTTCTGAGTTTCTTCAATCTTTTCTGAGTCCTCTTCTTATTCTAATTACGTCTTTCTTTTCTTCGTTATGTTCATAAATTATGAAACTGGAATTTAAACCTATGATATTTCTATTTTTATGCTCTTGGTCGGTCTTTTGGGTTGTCTGGGGGTCCATATGGCCTCTCGTATGGGGGTGGCCTGTAGGGTTTCTGTTCTTTTCTTTCACCGGGTCCAGACATTTCTGTGACAAAAGAATAATATATGTTTAATTATTGATTAATTTTTACTATATTTTGTATGGTGAAAAATTCAACACTTAGGTTGTCATTACTAAGTCAGTCTGTGTAAAGCTTCAGAAAAAAACAGTACTCATTTTCCTAATTGTGTTTCTCAAGAAATAGATTTTACGATGTCACAATGTAACCTACTTTTTTAATGCCAACAAAGGTTTACAGGTTTCATTTTAACGTATTAATGTTAAGCAGGCTTAATTTATGGTCAATAATAAGACAGTGCAGACGACCTGCAGCTTTATCGTCACTTCAAACTATCGGAAGTTGGTCGCGCTATCGATGCTGTAAACCGCGACTTGGACGGGATTGATAAGTGGGCCAAGTCCTTTGGTCTCCAAGTCAATCCTCTTAAGTCTCAGGCCATGATCATCGGTAGTCGATACTTCCGCAGCGCTCTGGACATCTCTACTCTTGAGCCCGTGCGCCTAAATGGCACAGTGATCCCTTTCACTGACACTGCCAAGAATTTGGGGGTAATCTTCGATTCCAATCTTCTATGGGGTGCACAGGTGAGTGAGGTCAGTCGAAGAGTCCATTTCTCCTTTCACTCGCTGAAGCGTCTCCGGTCCTTCTTGCCATTTAAAACTAAAATTCTCCTCGTACAATCCTTAATTCAGCCTTTACTCGACTACGCAGATGCTTGCTATTTGGACGTCACTGAGGAGCTACTAAACAAGCTTGAGCGGCTGCAAAACGTCTGTATTCGCTTTGTCTTCGATCTTAAGAAGTACGATCATGTCTCAGTATATCGCAGTAAGCTCAAGTGGCTCCCAATCCGACTTCGCCGGAACACTCGCATTTTATGTCTCCTTTATAATGTCCTTAACAACCCAGCCTATCCTATATATCTCCGTGACCGTTTTTCCTTGGCTCGTCCTCCTGAAGCCCTATCTAGATCCCACCTTAAGTCCCTTCTTGAAATCGTTCAACATAAAACCGATTTCTACTCCTACTCCTTCACGGTTCATGCGGTGAGATTGTGGAATTCGCTGCCGCCTAGCATACGCGACTCCAAGTCCTTCTCCATTTTTAAACGACTTGTCAGGGATTATTATCTTTCGTCCTGAAGTACAGCTTTATTTATATATATATATATTTATCTATATATACATACAATATACATATATATATATATACATTTATATGTAATCATATTTAAATATTTCTAATTATTTTATTTATTATGTTTGTTATAATTTGCTTAAGTTTATATATTATCATTATATTACCGTTATTCTAGTTTTCTAGTTCTTTCAGTAATTTTATTTTGTTCTGTATTTGTTGCATGTATCATCTACACTGTGTCTTGTCTTATGTTTAATTTCCTTTTCCTGTCGCAGGTCTGCAGGAAGAAATCCCTTAAGGGATATGCAGTACCTATGTACCTCATGTTTATATTGTGTTGTCCTGTGTAATATTGTCTGTGTGGTGTAGGTACATAAAATGATAAATAAATAAATAAATAAACAGTTTACTACCAGTAAAAATATATATATAAAATATACCACCATTAAAATCAAAGCATGTCATTAAAAATTAAACTTTAAACCACTGACTTTTAAATGGACATCATGGACATGTGAATTAATTACAAAACCAACGAATAAAAAATATTGTAATTAGCACGTGTGCTTACCTGTATTTGTTAAGGTATTCCTTGTTACCTACACGTTTAACACTTATTTGGTTACTAACACTCTGCTGAATTTGGTAGTTTATAAATACGGCAGTAAAGAGATAACAGCTGTCCAAGCATTATCTTGAAGGAGTTATCTGTGAGAAAAAGCTTCTGCACGGGAATCCCTGATCTCCAAACGTCTTGGTTGAATGATTATTCATCCTTGGGTTTTCTTCGCTTGTCTATTTTGATTAATTCTATAGAAATATTGCAGTTACTGTTTTTCTACAATAAATGTATTAAGGATTGTTGATGAAATATTAAGTTAAGCGGTAGGATTTAATTACCTGTTTAGTAATGATAAATAAAATTAAACAAAGAGAAGAAGATAAATAAATATTTTTAGAACAATTTAAGACATTTTTTCTTTTTAAGACGGGGTGTTCTTTGGGTAGTTTTATAACATAAGTATCAACACTTTTCCGTTCTACAGACTGAAGACGACTGAAAAATTAGTCTTTGTTTTACAGAATTACATTTAATATTTTATGATGCGTAAATCACCTTTTTACCAAAATTCGTTTTCCTTTTCACGATTTGTTCAATAGTGTAGTATAGTTTGCTAAATTGTTTGTTAGTACCAAATAAGTTAGTACGTGAATATAAAAATACCAAACTTTAAAATAGGCCAGGCTATTGTGATTCAATTACTGAACGAACATGAATCATAAATGTTTTTGGTACCTTCTCAGTTTTTGTATAATATCATCTCGTGAAAATGCGGAAATTGGTAATTTTGAAGTGGATACATAGATAGACTGAATTTATTCTCAAAACTCTTTTAAAATAATCGACGCAAATAAATATGAGACTGTAGCTGTCATGTCACTGCAGGGACAAAGTTAATATAAAACCAAAATTAATGGGCAAGTAACCGGGATGGCCCGCAGGTATACAAATTAGTGTTTTATTTATTCTTACATTAAGCATTTATTTCAATACTGAACCTGAAAAGATGGCCATACCTCGTTATTTGCAAGTCAGCACTTGTTTTTTATCATAAAACTCTCATTTATTTGGAAAATCCAAAAAATGTATCATGTCATGTCAAGAAGATGATCAGTTTTCCGATGGCCCGATATATCTTTTTTTATCATCATTTTGATATCGACTACTATTCTTAAATAGGTATACCTAACGATATCCGAAACAAGGTCGTAAACCAGTTAAAGGCAGTTCTAGAGAAAAGTATTTTAAAGTTTAATGTATGGATATGGTTAGATTATTATAGGTTTATAGGATATTTTAAAGCTTACTACGCGACTTCGCTCATGTGATCACAAGAAAATTATGTGATCGACACCCAATTAGAACCTAACGGGTTACCGGGGCTCCGGCTCGACGTGCAGGAGAAGGAACGGGGTGGGTTTTAGTCAGTAAGACTCTCACTCCCTACTGCCTCACCCAGGCGGGAGCAGGCATTTGATGATTTTCCCTCCTTAAATAAAAACCACTTTCATATTATTATGTAGATATTTATATTATTACAAAGATTTTTTATAATTTTGAAATGTTATGTTTATATTAAAACTTTCGTGAGACGTACTAAATTAGTTACATATTATGTTTTCGGTTTAC